TACATATATATATATATATATATATATGTATATATATATATATATTTATATATATATATATATATATATATTCATATATATATATATATGTATGTATGGTTTATGTATATGTATGTATATATATATGTATAGTATATGTATATATGTATCTTTGTCTGATTGTGTATCTATTTGTGTATGTGTGTCTGAATATATTTGATATATTTATATGTATGTGTGTCTGTGTATTTGTGTCTGTGTGTATGGGTGAATTTTTTTATGTCAATGTACACATATATATATAATACATATTATCAATATTATTATAGTATTATATTATATGTACACTTCACCGGTATCGTAGCTACCGCAATGTTTGTAGTTACAAGTATATCACTGACTCCAGACCTCTTTTTAATTACACACACACACAGGCAGTCTCTGCGGATGACATACCTACCCTCACGGCCATGCGCCACACGTGTCCGTCCTCCACAGACAACTGTGTGGTAGCCATAGTCTCTGCGTCTACCTACGTTGTAGGTACCGCTGACGGCTGCGTATATCTGTACACCCGCGATAGTCAGACACCTAAGTCTCTGCCGTGTGCATCCTTGTACAAGAGCTTCTTTGGATCCTTCGGTATATTTGTGCTGCGTGAGATTTGGAGTGTTTGTTTGTATGTATGTATGTGTGTATGTGTGTGTGCGTGTGGCTTGTATCTAGCGTTGGTGTTTGTTTATATGTATGTGTGTATGTATGTGTGTGTCTTATATTTAGCGTTGGTGTTTGTTTATGTGTATGTGTGTATGTGTGTGTGTGTGGCTTGTGTCTAGCGTTGGTGTTTGTTTATATGTATGTGTCTGTGTGTCTGTGGTTTGTATCTAGCGTTGGTGTGCTATGTATGGATGAACAGACTGGTCCTACACTCCTGTGTACGTTCACAAGCACACACACGTATAGGTACTAGAGCTCATTCATAGACTTGCACACGATAGTGTCACACGCACTCGGAGATCCCACCAATCCGATCTTGTGGGGTTTAGTGTTGCTATTCGTAGGCGTGCATACCGCTGAGATGCCTATACCTACACGTATGTGAGTGGACTTGGTGGTCCTTTTGTCCTGTTTTCAGGTGCATCTTCAGACTCCTTTTGTCCTGTTTTTGGGTGCCGCTTGGACCTACTTCGTCCCTGTAGCATTTATCTTATATCTATGGTTGTCTATCCGCGTACAGTCCACTCCAAACACACCTCAACGCCCACGTATCTCATCTATGCTTCATATCTGCGCGTCACCCCTTCAAACCTCCACCACGCACATGGTAGCCCTTTCCCATTGCCACTCATCTGCTGCTCATGCTTTGTCCTTACAATTGCACCTGTCCTGGTCCTAGCGTCCGGGGGCGGGGTGCAGCAGTTAGCCACGTGCACACTCAGCACCGGCCAGGCTCTCGTCGCAGGCGTCACCGCTGACAGCCGTCTCATGGCATGGAACCCCCACCACACACACACGTGTGTGTGATAACACGCTGGAGCTCTCACACACAGGCACGGACACGCGTGTCTATACACTGTGTGTGGATGAAGCTTTGTCGCACGCGGACGTGGTGCAAGGAGTGGTGGCGCTGGCTGGGGCGGGGGAAGCGGCGTTTGCGCGGTTTACGATCGAGCTCTCGGCCAATCAGAGTGCGGCAAAAGTGAAGTTCGAAGATCTGATTGGTGCGCCGGATGTGGGGCAACAGGGGCTGGTGAGCATCAAGTCATGCAATGGTATGGTATCGGATGATGATACATTGTGTTGCTTTCGTGTGCGGTCATTAGAATGTTGTATGTCGTATTGTGAAGCTATCGTATGTCTACCAATAGTCTTTTGTGTGTGTTTGTGTGTGTGTGTGTGTGTGTGTATGTATGTGTCTGTGTGTCTGTGTGTCTGTGTGTGTTTATTTGTTTCTCGAATGTAAGATCATATAGCTAGTGGGCTGATGTATGAATGCCACGTCTACGCATCAGTACTCTGGCTGTGGCCGTGTGCATGTTCTCATATATTGGTAGTGAAAGGAGCATGCCAATGCAAGCACACTCAGACGTAAATAGCCGAAGCACACTCAGATGTATGTACCTGAAGCACACTTAAGACGGAGTGTGAACCCTGGACCAAACCCTGAACCATACACTAAACCCTATACCCTATACCCCGTCCCCACAGGCGAAGTGTGGGCGCTCTTCGACGACGGCGGCGTGAGCCGCTACACAGACGAATGGACGTCTGTGGTAGGTACCACAGCTGAGGCCAGCGCTTCATACAGACCCTATCATACGCAGCCAACCAGCACACAGACATCCCCACTGCCACACCCACACGAACTGTACCAGAGCCATGTGTTTCAGCCGTACAGATACCACGTCATGGAGTTGGCTCTGGCGGTGAAGGCGTATGTGGAAAGGTACACCCCGCAGACAATTGGTATGTAACAGATGCTTTGTATGTGTAGGAAGACGTGGCTGGGTGTGTATGTGGAGAGGTGGTTTGTGTATGTAGGTGTAAAAGTGGTTTGTATATATATATATATATATATATATACCATGTGTGAGCCGCTTATCGCATAGCACTCACACAACACCATACAATCACACACCTTGAGTGTCACCTCAACAGACCCCACCGGCACATCTCATGACCGTATACCTTCATTCATCGTACGCTTGCGTGACTTCAATTACACACACAGTGAGTGTCGATGAAATAGTCTACTGCTCCACGCCTTGTGAGGTGCGGGATCTGATCTGTGCGGCTGTGGCGGAGCATATGCAACACCTGCAGCAAAGCGGTGACTACAACGCACACACACACACACACGAGATGCACGCACAGGGAACGTATGACCTCGATGTGCAGGCCTGGGATGACTTCATGGCTGAATTGGATGTGGTCGTTGACAACAACCGGGTGAGTGAGCGAGTGGGTGGGTGGGTGTGTGCAAGTGGAGAGTGACTCCGTCACACATCGTCGCTTCCTATCACGCGTGCGTGCACTCAACCAAGCACACGTGGACGCTCACTATGACGCGCGTGTGTACGTGGTCTAGTTGTTTGTATGTTCTTTGTCCTGTCTTGTCGTGTGTAAGCCTGTACACGTGCTGCTCACTTCACCTCCCCTGTCTGACACTCTGTGGCCCAGTTGTTGTAGGGTTTTTGGGTTTTAGTCTGCTCACTCCCCTCTCCTGTCTTGCGCTCTCACAGGTTGTATCGATCACGGCACAGCCGGAGGGCATCTTGTTGATCAAAGACTTCTCACTGTGTGTGGTACGCGACAGCGCCTCGGCCAATCAAATCACTCAGATGTCAAAACAGACACCCCGTCTGGTCTCCGAGATCTACTCCGACGCAGCATTGCTGGCTTTTGATTGGTCGGCTGTGAGTGTCAAGGCTAACACGGAGAGCCAATTGGTGGTGGTAAGCGACAACTTCAGCGCTCAGAGAGATGACAAGGCTCTGTCTCAACGTGTCAATGCGGTAAGGGGACACACTGAAACCCTAAAACCCTAAACCCTAAAACACACACTGAAACCCTAAACCCTAACACACGTGCACACACATGTACACGTGTCCGCACGTGGGCAAGGGCTGAGATGATGTCGTGTAGCAGAGGGTGGTGTCCATCGTGTACGTGATCGTGTACGTGTGCATTCGTACTACGTGTCGTCGCATACCCGCACGGGCTCGTGCTCGTGCTCAGTCGTGTGCAGCTGAGCCGAGGGATAGAGAGCTAAGGTCACTACCCAATACGTTAGTGTGCCTATTAGTGTCAGGTCATAGGCGAGTGAGTCTATTCTCTACTACGGGTGTTTGAGTGCGATGGTTAGTAGTTACTAATCAGTGGGTATGGCCACTCAACAGTGTGTTTTCCACACCATATCCCAGGCAAGGAGTGATGGAAGGGGCGTGTGATGGGATATATGCGATGCACTACACGTGCACCAGGCCACACCATCGCGAATTGCTCATGTCATGTTGTGCCTATGTATATGACCACTACAACCACTACTCGTATCATAGTATTATAGCTATGTGGATGATCACACATACCACAAACACTACTCACATCATACTATACCGAATTGTAGACCCACTCATAGTGCACGAGTACACTAGTCCTAAAGCTATGACCACTCATCACTTGCCACACCAACGTATTACGTAATGCACCACAGGTGTGTGAAAGTGCGATCTACTTGCTAGAGGACGCCCTCAATCACATCACCTCAGTCACTCAACGGCTGAGCACACCGCCCCAGGCGCATGGTATGCGGATGTGTTGATTGACTGATGCGTCTGTGTGTAGCTGAGTAAGTCTTATTTACTGATGTGTTTATTTACTGATGTGTTTATTTGCCGATGTGTTTATTTACTCACGTGTGTATTTACTGATGTGTCTGTGTGTAGCTGAGTTAGTCCACATGTTTGTATCCTTGTCTTTGGTTGCGTCCATGCACTCCCCCAGCCCATTGGCATTGTGTGCGTCGGTGGCATTGCCCTGTGCCTGCGTGTTTGTAAAGTGTGTGTGTGGTATGTTGATGCGCAAATCATTCCCATTGCTAATAGACTATTGCACCTCCACCCTTCCTGTAGACTTGTCTACTAACTTGTAGTTATTGCTGAGTGACGGTGTTTGTGTTGATGTGGTGAATCTGTCACTTACGCTAAGGCTCGGATGGCCCAATTCTTCTCTGTACTGCCCATACGGAAATGGCGGGGTGTCTAAGAGATATGATAAACCCTAAAACCCTGAATCTCTAAAACCCTAAACCTCTAACATACTAAACCCCAAACAGAACGGCTCTCAACCCCTATAACCCTACATATAACCCCACATAAAACCCTACAGCAGAGAACAAGGTGACCAGCTTCGCTCTGCAAGTCACCGCAGCCGCCGTGGCGCAGGAGGCGTTGTTGCATTACACGCAAGTGCGTGATGTGTATCTGCTGTGCACGTGGCTGGTAGCGCAGGTAGCCCTAAGCCGGAGAGAGAAGCTGCGCCTGCGCCTGCACGTGTTACCTACCCTGGCCGAGAGTGTGTGCTCTATGGGCGCCGTGGTGTGGCTGACCCGCCAGAGACCGACGGGCAGATACGAGGTAGGTATTGTGTAGGTAGTCATAAGTTTTTGTGTGTGTACGCGCACAGATTCTTCTCTTACTGCTTGGTGTATACTAGTGTGTTTCACCTCACTGGCTGAGAGTGTGTGCCCCGTCGTTGATGCGGTGGAGATAACTCGCCAACTGCCGACAGGGACGTATGTGGTAGGTACAGTGTAGGTAGGTGTAAGTACGGTTCGGATACCGACATGCCCACAAGTTGTCCTTTATGTATACATTGGGGTATGTATGTGTATATTGCATATATATATATATATATATATATATATATCCTCTCTGTGTGTGTGTGAGAGACAAAATTCCTGAACCCCTTGTTTCATCTCGGAGATCTGTTTGAGTGTCGGTCTCTATCGCACATGCCTAGCACACCCCTGTTGCACTCGCGATTGTGACTACCCACAGAACACAGAGCTAAGGTCACACGCACACTTTGTCTTCATGACCACAGTCACACACAACAGAAAGTCACACTCACAATCTCACATGGCCTTCATACTCACAACTCACAAACTCATAACTGCCATATACGCTATCACACATATGACCTTCAGCGACAGAACCAAAGTAACTAACTCTTCACACACACTGCGCAAACACATTATAAACACTCCACAAACACATCACAAACACATTACAAACACTCTACAAACACTCCACACACACTGCGCAAACACATTACAAACACTCCACAAACAATTCACAAACACACTACAAATACTCCACAAACACTGCACAAACACTCCACAAACACTTCACAAACACACCATAAACACATTACAAACACTTCACAAACACATTACAAACACATTACAAACACTCCACAAACACATTCCAAACACTCCACAAACACTTCACAAACACTACACAAACACTTCACAAACACATTCCAAACACTTCACAAATACTCCACAAACACTCCACAAACACTTCACAAACACATTCCAAACACTCCACAAACACTTCACAAACACATTCCAAACACTCCACAAACACTTCACAAACACATTCCAAACACTCCACAAACACTTCACAAACACGCCACAACTGTCTATGTGTCAACTATGCAGAATGCTAGCAGCGTGTTGGAGGGCTACGCCAGTCTACAAACGAAGCATCTCTCCATGCACGGAGTGACGCCCTTGGGCATTACAGCCGCAGCACACACCCTCCTGTCACTGCTAGTGCAGAACACGGGACTACCGCACGCACACCCCGTCACACGCACACACACAGACGGCGATACATCCACACACACGCCGACTCACGCGGCTAGGGATAAGGCTGAGACAGATACACACACACACACACACACACGCCCCCCTATGGACATGCTAAGCTTCTTGGTGTACTCTGAGCAGTTGAGTCTGTTGCCGAGTGCAGCTTCACCGTCTGGACAAACAACTGCAGCCGTATATGCACTGGGGCGATGGGCCGTACAATGCAGCGACAGCGCAAAGACAGACACCCTGCTGCTGTTGGCTGCGGGGTGGGTCAGGGAAGGTATACATCTATTGTGTTTGTATGTGTATATATATATATTTGTGTGTGTGCGTTTGCGTGTGTGTATGTATGTATGTATATATATATATATATTATCGTTATATATCATTTTATCATTATCATGCTGTATTTAAATGACATATATTTTTCTCTATGCATATCTGAGATTTAATATTTGCCAGTATATATATTTATATGTATATTTATATATATATGTATGTATGTATGTGTATGTATGAATGTATGAATGTATGTGCTTATATGCATGTATGTGTGTAATATATATATATATATATATAGAGTATGTGTTTGTGTATATGTGTGTATATAGTAAGTGTGTTTGTACATATATATGTACAAGCTAGTTTTCCTTCCACATGCACTCTTATCTCTATCACTTGCTCATGAACCATCCCCATCCTTCGCTCCCCTCCCACTGACAGAGATTGGCGCCGGCGACACCCACGAGCAAAGTATACGCAATCTCTTGCAGTCCCTTCCTCTACAGATGTTCGGTACAAACGACGCCATCCACGCCAACGCACAAGAGGAGTACCTGACTGCGCTGGTGGCTGCGTTTCCCCATATGAACACAGAGGCCACGTGTGTGTTGCTTACGCTGTTGCTGTCGGATGTCACGCCAGCCACTGGGCCAGTATCCGTACCGCAGGATATGCATGCACGCACAAACACACATGCGCATGTGCAGGGAGAGAGGGTGTTTGAGATGAGTGATGGGGATAGGGACGTCAGTGAGTTGCCGCGTGAGCTGTACCGAGAGCTCTACCGCAAGTGGGTGGTGGTGGCGTTGGAAAGGAAGAAGTATGTGCCGTTTTGTAAAGAATGTGTGTAGGTACAAGTTTTGCATAGAGAAGTGTGTAGGTATAAGTTTTGTATAGAAATTTGTGTAGGTACAAGTTTTGCATAGAGATGTGTGTAGGTATATGTTTTGTTTAGAGATGTGTGTAGGTATGATTTTTGTTTAGCGATGTACGTAGGTATAGTTTGGTAAAGAGATATACTTAGGTATAAGTTTTGTATAGGAAAGTATGCAAGTATAGTTTTATACAGAGATGTATGTAGGTATAATTTTTGTATAGAGATGTATGTAGGTATGAGCTACTTGGCAGGTGATATGCGCCGAGGCGGTTTATGTATGTGTATGTATCCAGATAGAGATGTGGATGTCTATAAATATATATTATCTAAATACGGATAGAATACGGATAGGTGTTATATGTGATATAGTGTATTTATAAAACAGATATAGTACATGTAGGTATATATGTGATATAGTGTATTTATAAAACAGATATAGTACATGTAGGTATATATGTGATATAATGTATTTATACTACAGCTATGGTACATGTATGTATTCGTGTGCTTGTTAGTGCAAGTATGGTCAACCCATCCACGTCACCATAGCAACCTCTCCCTCGCATCCGACGCATTCACTGCACTGTACTAGACTCTGGGCCCTTTGCTGCTGTGTGTCTGTCGCTCTCACAATAGCACACTGATGAGTTGTGAGTGAGTGAGTGGAGGCGGGAGGGGGAGGACAAAAACATATCCCGCCTATAGTCTCTTAATTTTAGGTTTTAAGGTTTAGGGGTTTAAAAACCCAACCCCCTAAACCCTTATAGTCTATGGCTGTCGCTGTACATTGTAGTTATGCTTTCGTATGTACTTTGCCAACGTCCTATCCGTATGCTTTATGCTCACTCCGCTATACTATACACTGTGCGTTATACTAAAACCCTAAAACCAAAGACCTTTTACCCTAAACCCTAAAACTTCAGGTACGAGACCGCGTTCGAGGCGCTGTGTGGCCTGTACGCCGACCCCACAGAGATCAAGGACTACATGCGACTGTTTGTAGAGGTACTGTGGCAGGACTCCCAGTACACGCTACTCAAGAGCTTCTCACGCGCAACCAACTCACCCCAGCAGCCGCAGTGGACAATTATCCAGGAGCTGCTGCACAAGGCCCACAGCCTGCCCGTGAACGGTACGGGGAGAGGAGGAGTACTATGCGAGTCACTGGTCACGCGTGTTCTGATTATGGAGTGGTTCTATTTATAGATGTGCTATTTATAGATTGATTGTAGCAGTTGTCGGTCTCTCTTGAGTATGAGATCTTGGGATTTACTCGTGGCTCGCGTTCACGTGCTCACACACAACACATGAAACGCTCATGACCAGACACACTTAAATCAGAGTACTACCGCATAAACCCTCACACAACAACGTCCAACCATTGCTCGATGCTTCATAAGTGCTAGCGTAATAAATATGTATATATGTATGTGCGCATATATATATATATATATATATATGTGTGTGTGTATGTGTGTGTGCACCCCTATCCATACGCCTAATTTGCATCTTCATCAACATAGCTTCCCCCACTGAATCAGTTCACTACTTGGCCCCACTTTCATCTTCAGGGCGTGATGCTGAGGGTATTCGCTGTTTCCAGTTGGTGTATGAGTTGCTTGTAACCTCAGCAGACTATGCACAGGCTGCCAGGCAGATGGTGGTGCTCGATACGATGCTGCGGCGCGAGCTTTTATACTCCGAACGACAGGACGAGATTATGCATTTGAGATGTGAAGCTTTGGCGCAGGTGTGTGTGATGTTGATAGTAAGTGTGTGGATATGGAGGCGTGTGTGTGTAGGTAGTCTTGGGGCTCAACGTGGATGTTTGTATGTATATGGATTTGGTATATGTATATCTATATCTATATATACACACATATATATATATATATATATATATATATATATCTGCATATGTACATGTACATGTACATGTATATGTATATATATCATGTGTCTTCATATCCCTGTGTATATGTGCAAATAAACTTATTATATAGTACACATGGGCGTGGGGGGTAGTTGAATATATTAATCTGTTCTCAATCTCAAACCTATTTAATCACATACACCTGTACGTGTATGTGATCATTTAAGTATGTCCGGTTGTTTTGTTAATGTTTTATTGTTTTTAGCACGTCCGCCTACACATAGCTCACGTGTACCGTGCATTCATAGTTCACATACACACTTGCGTTCCATCGCACTCGCCACAGATACAAAGCCATCGATCGATGCTCCTACCCATACAACTACAAGAGTCTATTCGCATTCATTTACAGATGGTCTTGCCATTCGTCTTCTCTTCTACCCGTCTTCATCTTCCATAGACTGCCCCTTCTCATTCGCATTCATGTACAATTACTCTTAGGGTTCTAGGGTTTTAGTTTATTCGCTTCCTTCCCATTCGCACTCGTTTGCAATTACTCTTAGGGTTCTAGGGTTTTAATATCTTCACCCCCTTATCCACTACATTTACTTCCAGTCCATCGCAGCCATGCACGCCCTTCCGCCCAGCCGTCAGTGTGTGAGTCTTGTCTCCGTCTGCGCCAATGAAAGCTTTGGCTTAGGCATGCTACCTACACCCAACGCTCCCTATGTCATTGCCTACGACCATTTGGGCCATACACCACGCAGCATCCGGGAAGAATCGCCTAAGCGCGATGCAGAGGGGCAATTAATAGGGCCTAATGGTGCGAGTGTCCCCAGGAGCCAAGGCGGTGGTGGGGGTGGTCTGGTTGGTTTGCCGATGCTGAAAGTATGGATAGGAGATACACGTCTGTGTATGATTACTGTGTAGAGTATCTACACGTATGTATATATATATATGTATATATATATATGTGTGTGTGTTATCTATCTATCTATATATCTATCTATGTATATATATTTATATTTATATTAATATATATATATATATGTATAGGAATAGGTATATATCTATAAGTATATGGATATATATATCATTATATATATAATTATATATAGATGTATATATATATATATATGGGTGGGTGGGTGGGTGTATCAATTACCTACAGCCACACTTTACGCTGTTTGCGGTGCTCATATGCATATACAGACATAATCTTAGTACAGACTGTTGCTCCTTTGCTGCGCAGCACAGTACGTTAATTATCATCGCCATCCATCCATAAATACAGACACAGTATGTGCTTACACAAGCACATCGTAGTCTGTTGGACTGTCGACTGCCTGTGGCGTATGTGAGTGCGTTGGGAGTGGCAGAGACCATCACACAGCTCACACTCCATGCGCACTTCGATCTGGCTGTCAATCTGGGCTTGGTAGCTTTGGCTGGGACTACAGATGGTATGTTTGTAAATAGCTATATGTATAGTATGTATGTATGTATGTATGTATGTGCGTATATATGTATGTATGTATGTATATATATATATATATGTGTGTGTGTGTGTGTATATATATGTATATATGTATGTATGTATGTATTTATATATATATATACATATATGTAACCACCCTGTACAAACACGTGTGGTATGTGTACCATTGATCACATATGTATATACATATACATATATATCCCAGTACATAACCTGTTACTTCATAAGCTGTTGCTAGTCTGGTCGATAGCCAATGACTTGTAGCCCCAACTGGAGCTGTATATGGGATCTCTATGACAAAACGTGGCATACACTCTCAAATGTATAACCAAATATGTTTTACATACTCGTACGGTTGCATCATTTACACACGATTTGAGTTTATTGGTCGCAGATAATTACAATGTATGGCACGTGTTATAACATTTTTATATGTATATATATATATGTGTGTGTGTGGGGGATCTTGAGCATGCTAGCGTCTGGTGAAATTCCACATACACATAGATTCACTATTTAATATATAT